TCGAAAGCAAATAATTTGGTTATGTAACATCATTTAAGGTGAAACCAGAGGCAATGGTGTCTATTAACAATGCTTATCAGTGTGGGAAACAAACTGAAAAATGAACTTCATTAGATCCTTGGAAAACCCCCACTGCTGAAAATCTGAGTAACTCTGTGATACCCTTTTGAGTCTGGTGAATAATTTCTTTTCGTTCATTTTCATTAAGGGCTGAACTTCCTTACTGTTCTAGAGGTTGTTAAATTTGATTTGTATAGTTGTGAGAAGTGCTCAAATTGCTGATTCCATTGCTTACTTTTGATCATGTCTCTCTTTTTTCTCCTTTCTGTGGTGTGATTTAAACTTAATCCTTAAAAGGCATATATTTGAATTTTTCAGCTAGTTAGAAACCCGAATATACAAATCAAAGAAAGCTGTTCCTTACATGCTGCAGATTCAGTTTTCTTCCTGTGTTAAGATCTCCTTCAGGGTTAGTAATTTGTTAAGGCCAAGAGCTCCTATGGAATGAAATTCAGTTGGGGGTAAGGGGCATTGAGTAGTAAGATCATCTTTATAATAGAGATGCCACTCTTACAGATATTGACAGCTATTGGGCCCATAAAATTTTTACCAAACATTGGAAAGACAGGATATGAGCAACTTCTGATTACTGCAGTCTCAAATATCAGGAAATACCATTATCCTCAGGGCAATGAATAAACAATCAAAAAAGACTCACAGACTAGATTAGCTGTCAGGTATCACCAAACAGGGACTGGATTCTTGCCAAACACCACCCAACAGAGATTGTCCCGAGAAATTCATTCCATAACATTTACCAGAAACCTACACTGACGCCATTGATGGAAGAAAATAACGATGCAAACGAGAGACAGAGAGAGAGAAAGAGAGAGAGAAAGAGAGAGAGAAAGAGAGAGAGAAAGAGAGAGAGAAAGGACTTGTCCAATGACCATACTTAGTATTTAAAAGCAAAAGAGCTCAGTTTCTGCTCATGAAAACAGAAGAACTGAGGAAACAAGAGCCAATAGCTCTAAGGATCCAGGTCTGCACCAGGGGCCTGTTAGGTGCAGGATTCTGTTGGCTCCAATGATGGGTCTCAGATGGACTAATTTTTATGGACATGGCCCCTGAAAGAAATCAGTCGAGGAATAATATAGAGACACTTATCTGCATGCTCATTCTCCATTACTATAGAAGGAAGAACTGGCATTAGATTGTTTTCAGCGAATAAAAGTAAAATCAAGATTTATAAAGAAAAGAGGAAAGAGGAGGAGAAAAAAAAAATGCCTGGGACCATTGTGATTTTGCTTTCTTCAGATAAGCGACTTGGCAGAAAGCTATCAAAGAGGTCACTGTGACCTGTCTTCTCTGGACCTATGTGACTTGGTCACCACCGGAAACAATGACAAGCCGGGCACAGTGACTCATGACTGTAATACCAGCACTTTAGGAGGCTGAGGCAGGAGTATTGCTTGAGCTCAGTTGGAGAGCAGCCTGGTCAATGTGATGAAACACCATCTCTACAAAAAAATACAAAAATTAGCCAGGCATGTTGGTGTATGCTGGTAGTCCCAGCTACTCAGGAGACTGAGGTGGGAGGATCACCTAAGCCCAGGAAGGCTGAGGCTACAGTGAGCTGTCATCTTGCCACTGCACTCCAGCCTGGGTGACAGAGTGAGGCCTTGTCTCAAAATAAATACATTTTAAAAAGAAACAGGGCTGACCACGGTGGCATGCTGGTAATCTCGCACAGAACTTCGGGATACTGAGATAGGAGGATCACTTGAGCTCAGGAGTTGGATACCAGCCTGGGCAACATGGCAAGATCCTATCTCTAAAAAAAAAAAGAAAAAGAAAAAGAAAAAAAGAGTTACTTTGGAGGCTGAGGTGGGAGGATCACTAGAGCCCAGGCGATGGAGGTTGCAGCAAGCTGAGATCACACCACTGCACTCCATCCTGGGTGACAGAGTGAGACCTAGTCTAAAATAAAGTTGGTGGGGGGGGGCGGGGCGTGTGGACAGTTTGTTGTGCCAGCAAGTAAATGAAGAAAGGGACAGTATTAGTGTTGAGAAATAAATTGGAATATGATTTGGTGCCTTTCCCACAGAAGATAAATGTGCTCAATGTGCTGAAGTTAGAGGCATTATATAAGGCCCATTGCAGTGGCTCATGCCTGTAAATCCTAGCACTTTAGGAGTCCTCGGAGCTACTGGAGCCCAGGAGTTTGGAGACCAGCCTGTGCGACATGGTGAAACCCCCTGTCTACAGAACATAAAAAATTTATCAGGGAGTGATGGCCCGCACCTGTAGTCCCAGCTACTGGGAAGGCTGAGAGATGGGAGGATCGCTTGAGCCTGAGAAGACGAGGCTGCAATGAGACGCGATTGGGTCACTGTGCTCCAGCCTGAGAGACAGAATGAGACCCTGTCACAAAAACCAAAACTAAAAATTAAAAAGCCTATAATATAGCAGTGGCACATTCAGTTCTCTACACTATAGAAATATCAGAGGTCAAAGATATATATACAAGAATGATGATTTCAGGATTCTTTGTAATCCTAAAATCATGAAGCCAACCTCATTTCAGACATATTTTGAAAAGGGGTAGGTAAATCATGCACAAACTGAGGGAAAAATACTGTTTTCAAAAATAATGGAGAGGATTATTATGATGATGAATGATTCCACTGGTCACATTATTGATAGAGCAATCACTAAATCCAGGCCCATCCTGGGGATAGGACACCTCTCTAGGCCTCCTATTAAAAATGAAAAGAATGAGGTTCCTCTATAACCCATCCAAACCTATAAGGGGCAGCATGAGGATTTTATCGCACCAGAAGTGACTTGTTTGGTCTCTGATTCTTGCACACAGGCACAAGACAACCTGACATTTCAGGAGACGTTCTGTCAGAATTGTATCTCTGAGTGGGGTGGTCCTTCACAGGACTCCCTGTTAACTGTGACTAGAATCCTGAGAAGAGAAAACCCTTCCTGAAATGGGCATATGCCTGGCTGGCTTGGAACCAATCTTTCGGACTTAGGACTATGGGAAGGATAGGGGGAGATTCTCTAGTGATGATAATATATGAGCTCTTTAAAAGCTAGAGCAGGCGTCCCTGGGTGGGCTTGAACTACCCACCGTTCGGTTAATAGCCGAACGTGCTAACAGATTGCGCCGCAGAGATAGGTACTAGTGATTCCACTGGGCGCTATAGGCAGGGCGCACTCACCACACTCCCCTATCCCTTCCAGCCTCAGGGCCCGCCTGGCAGGACTACCGACCAAGGCCTTGGAAAACCGGAGCGATTAGAGCAGTGAGTCGCGCTGGTCACGTTGGACACCTGTGCGTTGGGAGATTCTGGAGCCAGAAGGACAGCCGAATGGCCTTCGCCCGCCCTGCCCCTCGCCTGCTTCAGAAGCCCCCGGAAACGCCCTGGTCCGCGGCCTGGGCCGGAGCCGCCAGGGGGCTTAAGGTAAGCTGAACGCCCAGTGGGCTCCCAGGATGGCTCTTCTGGTTCTTTGCGCCGCCTTCGCCCAGTGAGGGAGCCTGTGCCCATCCGGCCCAGTCACTTTCGGGGCCGCTGCGGAGCTGCCGCTGCCATCTTTGGATCTTGTGTCCCGCACGGGGGCTCCACCAGGGCAGGGATGGTGGTGAGGGTGGCTCGTGGATCCCCTTCGCCGGGAGCGGGGTCTGGCGCTCACCAGGGCCCCATGATTAGGACTTGTTGAATGAATCCATCGTCGCCTTTATCGTTTAGTCCTTTGAAGAGCCTTGAGAATGGAAATCATAAGAGATTTTTCCATTAGAAAGTTCTTTGTACAAGGCGTTTATTCACACAGCACTGATGCTAAAGAAAAGAATTGTGGTGTATCACCCCAAAATAGAAGCGGTCCAGGAGTTTACCAGGACTCTGCCTGCCCTGGTGTGGCACCGATAGGACTGGACCATCCTTCACTCTTACCTACACCTCAACGCGGATGAGCTGGAAGCCCTGCAGATGTGCACAGGTTACATCGCTGGATTTGTAGACTTGGAGGTGAGCAACAGACCAGACCTCTATGATGTGTTTGTGAATCTGGCAGAGAGTGAGATTACCATTGCTCCCCTTGCAAAAGAGGCCATGGCAATGGCCAAACTGCACAAACAAATGGGTCAGCTAATTGTTCAGTCTGCAGAAGATCCAGAGAAATCAGACAGCCAGGTGATACAGGATATTGCTCTAAAAACAAGAGAAATCTTTACCAACCCAGCACTGTTTTCAGAAGTTTTGGCTGATGGAGAAAAGAGAGTCCTTAATTTGGAGGCGCTAAAGCAAAAACGATTTCCGCCAGCAACAGAAAACTTCCTTTATCATCTAGCAGCAGCCAAACAAATGCTGAAAATCTGACTGTGTGACAGAATGTATCACTGATGACTGATAGAAAGCCCTCTTTCACTGTGATTATCCATTAACTACATAAAGTCCTGAAAATAACAGAGAAACTATTATATATTTTTAATGATTTATCTGCAGGTATTGAGATTTGACCTGAAAAACAATGAAACACATGAACACACTTCTGATTCTCTCCCAGCTGATTAGTTTCCTGCCTGCTCTCAGTGTTGGACAAAGTGCTGTAACTACTTTATATAACAATACAAAACAGCTGGAGGTCCTGGGGTAAGAGAAAAAAAGCACATCATGACAAATGTGAAAGCTTTCATTATTACACGTTCCAGTTTGTCTCACTGTGTAGTCATAAGCTAATGGTTTACTTTCAGAAAGCTGCCTGAAACGTTGCTTTGTATTCTAGGAAGAACTTTAATTCCTCCTGAGAAACTCTACTTTCTGAGCCCAACTGCTAAGTTTTCTGTGGAACTGTCTAGAAGATCATTCAAGAGAGCCTGCAGTTGCACTTTCTTGTAAAAGTTAAAAAAACAAACAAAAAAAGGTTTTATCCGGCATTTGAACATTTTGCCTATGAGAGTTTTGCATATATTTTATACTTGAGTAGACAACTTTAATAATCCATATTTATACTATCACAGATGTAAGCATTTGGCAAACGTTCAGCCATTAACACTCATTTGACCCTGTTAGCAATATTCTTTTGAAAACGGTGCAGTCCTTATGTGGTAAACTAAGAAGCCCATTGAATATAACAGTGTGTGGGACTGGAACAGTGACCTTATATTATTGCTAAGGGAATATGAGATTAACTTACAGGGGTCAAAACCAGAGAAAGGCTTCCAACAACTTTGGTGAAAGTAATTTGGCCACAAGTCAAGTCAATTGTTTGTATTCATTAATATACCTTTTTCACAACTGGAGACCTTAAAATTGCCAAATCAGCATGGAGGCCTCAATTACGTGCTTGTTAGTGTGTCATTCATGTTGGTTGTAAGGGATTATTTTCACTCAGTACTGATGTCCTTGGAAATCTTACCTGGAAGCATGTTTGCAAAAAACATTATTGGATCTTTCATTTTTTTCTTGGTATTACATATTTGTTAAATAAAAATTAAACACTCACCCTTTTTGAGTGAGGGCAGGGGAGGACCTGAAATAAGATGATGTTTACTAAGGCAAATAATAGAAAATTAAATCTGCACTTTATGGAAATGAATAATACTAACATGTTTTTCCTCATTTTTTTTGTATTACTATACTAGCTAACGATCAAAGTTGTTAAAATTATAAATTTATGATGCAGAAATAAAAAGGAAATATTTTGATATTCAACTAAAAAAAATAAAATAAAAAACAAAGTACAATAAAATAAAATTGAAAAGAAAATACTAAATTTGAATATGTGTAATATACGAGGTGCTATTTTCTGTATACTGGGTTTCAGTGTAATGACTATTTCTTATTTTACTTGTATTCAAAATTAAGCAAGTGTGCTTTAAGTAGACTACAGATCTAATCCATCTATTTTCTTGTTTTTCTTTTTGATTTTTTTCTACATTCTACAAATGCTACTGTTGAGAGGTGAATACAGATCCCATCAATGTCTGATGGATACTCAGCATTTGTGTGGAGTAGCCACACATGTGGTCATCTCTATGTTGAAAACCTGAGGTCAGAGTAGACCAGTGGTCCTTGTCATCTTCAGCTGTGTATTAGAATATCATGGAAGTTTTTTAAAGGTACTAATGCTCAAATCACACCCCAGACCATTTAAGTGAGAATCTCAAGATGTCAGTTCAAGGCATTCATCTTTATTGAAATCTCACCAGGTGCTTATTACATGGTAGCAGATTTAGAAACAATGAATTAACTAACCTGATTTCCTGTCATTTTCTTTCCTATTCTCATTTCTCTCATGATTGCCTTCATTCTCTGTGGCTCTATGGATTTTAGTCTTTCTTCTGACAATTTAAGTTAAATCTCTCACTTGGGCTGGTTTGAGGCTAAGACTATCCTATAGATACATTCTTGTCTATCATCTTGTGTAGACATAAAGCTGGTCCCTGGACTCACTTCTCTCAAAGTTAATTCATGAAATGCTCTCTTATTTCTCTGACCTCAAGATTCACCTTAGTTGTGCTTTAGACTCTTACTGAGCTTGTAGAAGTAGATATGTGAATAAAAGGAGAATGTACCTCATGGTCTATGCAGGTTCAAAGTCCTACCCTGCCCTCTGCATCTACCTTTGGCTGAGGTCCCTTTGAAATGTCACAAATGTTCTCCAGTTAATGTCAGCTAAGTAAGTCCATGAGGAGCAGACATTGAGTCCCTGGAAACTTCATCCACATTGGCATAAGGTTGCCCATCTACAGCTGAAGATACACCTAACTCCAGGCTAGCAGGGAACTCTCATCTGTGATCCAGGTTCAAATTTAGTTTTGATTTTTTTGTTTGTTTGTTTGTTTTTGTTTTTTGAAGGAAAGATGTGCAGAGACCAGCTCGGTTGGGGAGACCCTAACCCAGCGGCGCTAGAGGAATTAAAGACACACACACAGAAATATAGAGGTGTGGAGTGGGAAATTAGGGGTCTCACAGCCTTCAGAGCTGAGAGCCTCGAACAGAGATTTACCCATGTATTTATTAACAGCAAGCCAGTGATAAGCATTGCTTCTATAGATTATAGATTAACTAAAAGTATTCCTTATGGGAAATAAAGGGATGGGCCAAAATAAAGGGATGGGTTTGGCTAGTTATCTGCAGCAGGAGCATGTCCTTAAGGCGTAGATCACTCATGCTATTGTTTGCGGTTTAAGAACACCTTTAAGCAGTTTTCCGCCCTGGGTTGGCTAGGTGTTCCTTGCCTTCATTCTGGTAAACCCACAGTCTTCCAGTGTGGATGTCATGGCCATCATGAACATGTCACAGTGCTGCAGAGATTTTGTTTATGGCCAGTTTTGGGATCAGTTTATGGCCAGATTTTGGGGCACCTGTTCCCAACATGTCCCCCTTATTTGATTTGCAAAGTTATAAAAGCATAGGCAGCTCGGTGAGCTACTTCTTGCAGGATTCGGGATCTGCATCTGCAGACTATACAAAAACAAACAACACAGATTAAAAGCACAACCATCATTGAAATCACAGAGTTGCCAAGTGTTTTTATCCATTTTAATGCGTTACTAGCTGCTAATCTGTCTGCAGCTCCTTCAAGCACTCCTGTTCTTGGCATTAAGGTCAGGTGTGCCTGGGATGCTTTAAATATTGTTCTTTTAATTTTGCAATATCCAAAGACAAGTTTGTAGAATGTCTTTCTAGATGCTTTTTTATTATTCCCCAAATTTTGATCTTATTAAGAGTTATTAATAGTTTTCACAAATCCTGATGTTTAGCTCCTACAACGGGCCATATCGTTTGAGGTTGAGGTGCCCTATACTGCCATGTTTTCCAGTAATAGGAACTCTTGCTGTACTTCTTATCATTTCTACCATTTGACTGTTTTGTTCAGACCAGCTGAACATAGTGTGGCCATGGCATGCAGACTGAGAGGTGCAATTCAAGCTAAACATCCCTTTAGGAGACCAATTAATAATGATTCCATAGGAATTGTTGTGCAGCACCTTTGCCTGTTCTGCAATGCAATCTTCCTAAACAAGTACGTTCATTTTTTCTAACTGGGTTCAATTTTGTTTATGAATAGGTTTTTGAGGGCAGTATGCCTCAATTATAGGAGCAGATTTATTATGGTAAATACTGAGACCAGAAAACATGTGTAACTGTGTCATAGAGTGATTACATCCAGGCATTATTGCCAGCCATGATTGATAAATATGCCCAATATGTATAATTGTTTTCCATATCAGCATTTGTTGAAGGAATACTCACGGCAATGGTGATCACCGCCATCATCGCTACCATTAAATTACTCATTGTGACTGGTTGTCCCACTTTCCTCAGGTTTTCTTCTGCCATATGTGACAGCTTCTTGATCTGTCCACAGGTAGGTGGCTGTGTTCAATGGGTGGTGCTTGTGACAGTTGGGGTCCTCCTCAGCATCAACCTCAACATGGCTGCAACCAGGGGGTCCTTGGGATCCTCCTGGAATCTCTTCCTTGGCATCTGGCTCATCATAAGGTTTCAGGTGTCTTGATAGTATCCAAATTGGCTGTTGATTCGGTCCTGGAGAAACACAAGCACAACCTGTACCCCAAGTTATTATTTTACCTACTTCCCAACTTTTTATTATTGGATCTCTCCACCAAATCAGTTGTTCTGCTTCTGTCTTTGCAGCTGGTTTCTGTAGATGCTGTTCAACTGCTGATAACATCTGGCCTTTGGGGAGGCTCAAAAAATTTAAAGTTAATAATGCTAGATTCAATTGTGTATGGGCTGTCCCATAATCCCTATTTCTCCCCCTTTTTTGTTTTTGTCATCAGCTGTTCATCTATATGAAATTGTAACTAAGCATTTTCAATGAACTGTGTGGAATGAACCATGTAGGATGAATCAGAAACTATATTAATAGACATATCAAAAGCAGTCAATACCTCAATTACAGCTACAAGCTCCGCTTTTTGAGCTGAAGTACAGAGCATCTGGAAAACTTTACCTTTTGATCCAGAATAAGAAGCTTTACCATTACTAGACCCATCTGTGAAACAATGAAAATGCTTAGCAGGCTGCAGGTTGTTTACTGCAGGAATTGTAAATGCAAACCATTCATAGTCTTGCTCAGCTAAGGGGATAGTAAAGAAACAGTCTTTTAAATCTATGACTATTGAAGGTCAATTTTAAGTCCTCTAAAGCCTCCAGTTTCTTTTTACTCTTTTTACTCAATTCTAACCAAATTGGCTTATCTGTTAACCATTTTAAAGGTATAGGTTCTGGAGGCTTAACAATGGCCGCCATCAAAAATGATATCCTAAACCTTGGTGGGAACTTTGTCTTTCCATTTGAAGTGGTTTTTTCAAACCTTGCAATTTTTTTCCTAGTCCCATATTAGGGACATACTCCATTTCATGCATCATATGTTGATTGTGAGGGCTATATAATTGTTCTGGAATTAGAACTTGTGCTCCCCATTGTTGCAATAAATCTCTTCCCCATAAATTTATAGGTACAGAAGTTATAATTGGTTGAATAGTCCCAGGTTGTCCATTGGGCCCTTCACAATGCAAAATATAACTACTTTGATATACTTCAGGGGCTTTACCAACTCCAACTATGTTAAATTGAGTGGGTTGAATTGGCCACGTGGATGGCTAGCGCTGTAGAGAAATGATTGAAATGTCTGCTCCTGTATCTACCAAACCTTTAAATTTCTTTCCCTGAATAGTTATTTCACAGGTAGGACATTTATCAGTAATTTGATTTACCCAACAAGCTGCTTTGCCTTGTTTATTTGTGCTTCAAATCCTCCTGTTTGTTTAATTTCACTTTTCCCCATTTCCACATACGACACAACCAGGAGCTGTGCTATGCACTCTCCTAGCTCTGCTTTCCAGGAACAGAAGTACATATAACAATTTGGATTT